CAAAACTGTGGCCCTGAGTCACTATTACCAACTAACATATTACTGCTTCAATAGAGCATAGTTGTTGCTTTTATATAAGGAGCATGTTTTTAAAGAAGATAAAAATAATGCACTGAATATTGGCTTTAGCTTTATAACAAAAATGTTACTTGCCAAAGCTAACAAAAATGTAGACATTTCCCTCCAACTACTGATAGATTAATGCAGTAATTAAATTTTGTTTCAAATAATCATTAGATGGAATTTAATTTCCAACTATCCTTAGAATAACAGGGAAATATTGAGCTAACACTCCAAACATTTTTCTCATCTCAACTATGCTCTTATTCTTTCAGAAATGAGCTCTGAAAATATTGTCAGAAAGAAAGCAGAGTAGAAGGATTAAGCTCAGGAAAGTACATTTACTAACACCCCCCACTATAATTTCTTAAGTACTTATAACAAAAGTATTGACTTTTTTTTTTTTACCATAGTTTTATACCTTATACTGGAGCTATGGATTTAATTATTTATTTTATGCTTTTGAACAAATGGTTAAGCTCCCAGAAAAAAGGACAGACTCCAATTCAAAAGTGATTATTGAACTTCTGTTGACACTTTTTTTTTCCCCTTTCAATAACTTCTGATTTAAGTCAGCAAGTTCTGGAATGCAGAGCTTACATCTTCCTTCACTTATCTTGTATTCAGAATTTCCCAAAGAATTGCAAGCTTACCAAACACTTTAAGGAATAGGAAGAATGTCACATCCATGTGCAAACTGTTTTCACAATAAATTCTCACCTGAGAGGGTGATTTTTTTTTTTCAAGTTCTTGCTCTTTCACTAAGCCTACCTAATTCTCTTTCTCCACATGCTCAGCAGTTGTCAGTAGAGAGAGAATTAATATTTATATTTGCAGCACTATTACTATTGTTATTGTTTCACATTTATTGGATATTTATTGATATCATTTAATCTTCACAAGTTTATAGTCACACTCATTTTACTACTCAGGAAGCAAGAAGGTTAACTTGCCCAAGGTCACACACCTAGTGAATACATGTTATATTTTTTTCACTCTCCATATGCTGTGGTTTTAGCGTGTTTGTTAAATGAACCAAGCCAATCTTAAATGATTCTCAGGAGCAGAGACTGAGGCTCCACTGTTTGTGCTTTGGTACTGAAAACCAAGTGCAGTTCTGGGCCTCTCAGAAATGCCTGACATACAAATGGCAGTGAAGGAATGATACCATCAGAGGAAGGGGCATGGTGAGGACTGACACACAAAAAAAGTGTGCTCAGTTTCACAGGAGAATTTTTTCTCTTGCATTTTGGTTGTATTTTTTTATAGATGACCACTTAATTCTCACTGATAATCAGAGGACCACATATCCTAAATTATTTAAGCAAACACCTTTCTTGGAAGTTTTTGTTTTTCTAGTGAATTCCAGTAAAAACCCACAGTTCTGGAAGAACTACAATTGCCCTTTTGCTTTACTATTTGATGATTGGGGAAAATTAAGTTCATAATGGTATTTTTACTTAAAAAAAACCTCTCCTAGTTTCCACTTAAAAAAATAAAAACTTTTTAATAGGAGCTTTTAAAAATCACTTTTGTAATCTCCTAAGTACATTTTCAACTCTTGACTATATAAGTTATTTCCTCATTAGTAGAAAAATCAGCCATGATTTGGGGATTATGGATAAACATAATTCAATTACTGAGAAGCCCCAAACACTACTGAGCCTTCAGTAATGACAGCACATTCAGATTTTACAGCAAATATCTTTTTTTAGTATATTATCAGCTTAATATCTTTCTATCTTATGTCCTTGGTCAAAAAACTACATTGAAATGCAGGGCTTGTATCAAATTTCCTGTGAAAATGTTACAAATCTTTATCTCTCATAAACTATTTTAGAGAATTTCCAACTATCCTTAGAATAACAGGGAAATATTGAGCTTACACTCCAAACATTTTTCTCATCTCAACTATGCTCTTATTCTTTCAGAAATGAGCTCTGAAAATATTGTCAGAAAGAAAGCAGAGTAGAAGGATTGAGCTCAGGAAAGTACATGATGGATGGTGTATCACACTCCAGATCCATAACTGACAAGTTGCATCTAGTAAGTTCAAACAAGAAATAAAAGCATAATGACTGCAAGTTTTGTTTTCAAGTGATGTCATCAATACATCTGCTTTAAGGCTAGCTTTTCTTCAGGATAATTTCAGAGGCCTTGAAGAACAAGAGCCTAACTACCCAGATCTTTTGTTTGTACCATTTTCTTCTGGCATATCTGGGATTCTGTGTCTTTAAGGGTTAAATTTAGAAGAATGGCAAAGTGTGAACATGAGGAAATGCAATATCATTGTGCTTTTAGTATCTATCACAGTAGTATTAGTTCAACAAAGGTTACATAACCTAACTATTGGTCACTTAAAGGTTATGGTACCATAGTCAGTGCTGTATATCCTTTTCATATTTCTATTTTCTTCTTAGTGTTCATAAGAGTGCCTAAAAATCTTGTTATAAAAAAAAGAAATGAAATGTTTGAAATATTATGTACATTATTCCTATGGAAGACATGAAGTACTTGAGATTTTTTTCAACTTATAAAAATGCTTCATTGTAGACTATTATAGCAGAATAGCAAATACCAGACTTCATGAATATAATTAATTCCAGATTTAAATAATTTTAGCTTTCCTGAAAAGGAAAAAATAAATATGTCAGCTATTAAACCACATGGGATCCAATCAATGAATATATATTCCTGACTGACATATCTACTGACATATATTTGTATGTACTAAGTTTGACAGGATTCCTATTTAAGGATGCCTTTGATATGTATATGTTTGCTTTTTAAAATTTAAATTTCTTTTATTTTACTTTTATTTTATGTTATCAACTCTATTTCCAAAATTTCATCTTTGGAGAATCCATATTTTAGTTATTTTCCTACTATAATTTCTGAGCCTGCAACTGTACTGTAATAAAGCTATTTAGTTCCATTTTTGTGAGGATATTTAAAAAGGGGAATCAGCACCTTCACAAATCTTAAAAAGACATTTCAGAGTCTGTAGTCAGTATTGCTGTGTATACTTATCTCTTTCTTTTCAATGCCATGAATCATTATAAATGTCAGGTTCATTATTGTGGCATGCTGAAATGATTGAGTGGGAACTGTGCCCAGCACTGCATTGTAAAACAATCCATCCCCAAACACATTGCCCTGTACTGTATGCCTCAGCCCAATTAGATTTTCTTTGACACTTTGGTGATTGCTCTTTTGTTTGGTCTTGGAGAATTCAAAGTCATAAAATTCAGCTCAAATTTGAAGACAGTACCAAGACTATTGCTATCTGAGGTGAATCTGTGCATGTTAACTAGAGTCATACCTAGTCACATCTGCTTGTAGGATTGCATTCTGTGCTTTTCCTTCGCTTGAGTCATGTAATCAGCATCTACGAGTGAACTTTGATGTGTTACATGTTTTTTTTCCTAGGAGATTGGGAGTCCCATTCTTTACCTATATTCAGATGGGATTAAATGTGCCTTTCTTGGTAAAAGAAACAGCTTAGAACCAACCCATAATAGTCTATTTATTTTCTATGTTGTCATTCCCCTTTGCAAAATCCACTACTGTTTTCCCCCCATTAATGAATGTATGTAAGTGTATGAGTTACAAAGTGCAGCCTTTGTCAGCACAAAACCAACACAAGTGAAGATATTTGCCTAGGTCTCTTAATACCTCGTTCCTAGATATAACTTCTGAATGGCTGGTTCTGCAGGCTTTCTAAAAAGAGCTAGAGAATAGAATAGGCTTGATATACAAGATTAAGAGCAAAAGAGGGCAATAAAAGAAATTTTTAAAGAAAATAGAAGAAGTAATACAAAATTCAATATTACTTTTCTTTTAATAACCGTATTTTTCTTCCATGGAGTTATGGGATTGCCTCAATACCTGCTTCATTTCTGCAAGCCAAGGGTTTCTAGGTGGGCTCTCCAAAGCATTTGCCGGAAGGTGGCGATATAAGCCCTTATTGCCTAGAGCTGTCCCAAGTGCTGAAGCCGATATCAGCGCTTAAGAGAAACTATGGGCCAGCGACCAGGGGTTCCACCAAGTTCCCCTAGAGGTTTGCAGGCTCAGGTAAAGAAGAAGCAAAAGGCCATATAAAATGCCCAATCTTATTTACAGAATACAGGCAAAAGATTCCCTTCCCTACATTTACTCTCCACAAAGCTATGAAACATGGCAATGTTTATTGAAATTAAAAAGGTAATGGTAATGGAAAGGCATGTGTATGTGTGTAGAATACATACCGAATTGAGTTTTTTTCCTTCACTTTGAGATGCAGGTGTTTACCTGTCCGTTGACACGTCCTTTATAATTCCTTTCCCCCCAATTACCCAAGGTTAAAAAAATAAAGCCACAGGCAACATCCTCCCCAAGGGAGTCAGGCTGGACTGTCAGATAATGAACGGGCTGGCTTATTTAAAACGCTAAGAAACACTTTGTCTTCTTTCCATCAATTAACAATAATTTACAGACGAACCCGGGACAGTCTACCTCCCCGTTCAGGCTCCATGTGGCTCCTTTTCTCATTTCCTATTGCCACTCTGTTGCTGCTAACTCTACTTAATAATCTGACAGAAATATGAAGCAACGGATAGTTAGGATTTTTTTCTCCTCTCGAGTTTAGCTGGGTGAGAGGCGGAGTTATATGTTCTAATATTGGTCTGACCGGCGGCAGATCCGGTGGAAGGGAATTCTGAATCTCTGCCGACCAAAAGGGGCTAGAACGAAAAGACGCTGAGCTAGAGGGAGAGGTGGGCGGGGACCCAGAGGAGAGAGACACTCAGGGTTGGGCAAATGTTAGGAGGGGAGGGTTAACGTGGGAGGGAGGGACACTCTCAGAGCTGTCGGAGCGACACACGGAAGGATAAAGGGGAAGAAAGAGGGAGACTGAAAGAGAAGGGAGAGGGAGAAAGAGGGGGAGAAAGCTTTCTAGAGAGGAGACAGGAAGAGAGAGTAGAAAAGAGAAAGGGAGAGAAGCAGGAAGAGGAGAGTCACAGAGTGACCCTAGAGGACGAGGTTTCTCTATTCCAGATACTTCTAAGATTGAAGACTGTTTGCTAGTGGGGAGACTCCAGCTCCGGCAGCCAGTTGGGCAGCGGCAAAGTAAAATGGACAGTGAGAAACAGACGTTCCAGCCACCTCTCCAACGCCCAGAGGTCCCGGAGCTGTTCTCTGGCGAACTCCTTTCCCAGCTGGAGTCTCTGAGCCTTCTGGACCCAGGGAGCCCAGGGAGCGCCTGGAAGCTGCTCCTCGGAGATGCCCTCGCCTGAGCAGTAAGCACTTCCCGTTGAGTCTCTGCATTCCCTCCACCTGAAACTCCCCAGGAGAGAGGGGTGGAAGACCCCAGGGGGAGGGGAGAGGGGGATCCTAACGCAGCACTTTCTCCCCTCCCCCTCCCCCCGCCGGGCGCGCAGGCATGGGTGTGCTCAGCCCGGGACAGGGCAACAACACCACTGTGTCCGGGGGTCCCTTCGGGACACGCGGCAACGCTACTGGCGTCTCCGACGTGACCTTCAGCTACCAAGTGATCACCTCACTGCTGCTGGGCACGCTCATTTTCTGCGCGGTGCTGGGCAATGCGTGCGTGGTGGCCGCCATCGCCCTGGAACGCTCCCTGCAGAACGTGGCCAACTATCTCATCGGCTCGCTGGCTGTCACCGACCTCATGGTGTCGGTGCTGGTGCTGCCCATGGCTGCGCTCTACCAGGTGCTCAACAAATGGACACTGGGGCAGGTCACCTGTGACCTGTTCATTGCCCTCGACGTGCTGTGCTGCACCTCGTCCATCCTGCACCTGTGCGCCATTGCACTGGACAGGTACTGGGCCATCACGGACCCCATCGACTACGTGAACAAGAGGACGCCCCGGCGCGCCGCTGCGCTCATCTCGCTCACTTGGCTCATTGGCTTCCTTATCTCCATCCCGCCCATGCTGGGTTGGCGCACCCCCGAAGACCGCTCGGACCCCGACGCGTGCACGATTAGCAAGGACCACGGCTACACTATCTACTCCACCTTTGGCGCTTTCTACATCCCACTGCTGCTCATGCTGGTTCTCTACGGACGCATCTTCCGAGCTGCGCGCTTCCGCATCCGCAAAACAGTCAAGAAGGTGGAGAAGAAGGGAGCGGACACCCGCTTTGGGGTATCGCCAGCCCCACAGCCCAAGAAGAGTGTAAACGGCGAGCCGGGGAGCAGAGAATGGAGGCAGGGTGTGGAGAACAAGGCAGGGGGGGGTCTGTGCACCAATGGCGCCGTGAGGCAGGGTGACGAGGGCGCCGCCCTGGAGGTGATTGAAGTGCACCGGGTGGGCAACTCCAAAGAGCACCTGCCGCTGCCCAGCGAGGCGGGTGCTATCCCTTGCGCCCCCGCCTCCTTCGAGAAGAAGAATGAGCGCAACGCGGAGGCCAAGCGCAAGATGGCCCTGGCCAGAGAGAGGAAAACGGTGAAGACGCTGGGCATCATCATGGGCACATTCATCCTCTGCTGGCTGCCCTTCTTCATCGTGGCCCTGGTCCTGCCCTTCTGCGAGAGCAGCTGCCACATGCCCACCCTTTTGGGCGCCATAATCAACTGGTTGGGCTACTCCAACTCTCTGCTCAACCCTGTCATTTACGCCTACTTCAACAAAGACTTCCAAAACGCGTTTAAGAAGATCATCAAGTGCAAGTTCTGCCGCCGATGATGGTGGAGTAGTCGGCGAGTAGGCCCGCCCCATCCTCTCTGCCTCCTCCAGCCCTCTGGAATCAGCACCTCGCTACTTTTCCTCTTTCTCGGCTGCTCGGGGTCCCCCGCTTCCAGACCTCGTCCCTCCTCCTCCGTCGCCCAATCCCCTGCTCGGACGGAGGGAGTGCTCTTTGTGCAAAGAGCCCCAGCGGAGGGTCTGGAGGGCTTGGGAAACTCCCCGATCTGTGATAAGCGACCTTGGCTCAGACTTTGGCCTCAGAATCAGTTCTGATCCCTGCACTTGCCTCGTCCCTCTTCTGCACCCAAATCTTCGCGGCGGAAGTTTAAGCCTCAGCCGTTCAAGGCAAAAAATCTACACAGAAAAACAGTACACCCAGCTGCCGCGTCCACTAACGGCTCCCACCTGATCGCCCCATTGCTAGAACTTGGATTTAAGGTTCAGGAGTTTGCTTCATTCCCTATTCCCAACTCTGTCCCGCCCTCTCCCTGGAAACTCACTTTTATTTTTCAGTTTCATCCCTTCTTTCCAGCTTCTCTTTATGACCCCCTTAGTCCCTCTGCATAGGTTTGCTAGTCGGGAAAAGCTGGAGGGTCTGTTTTTCCCATTGACTGTGGTGTCCCTGGTAATCCCCGCCTCCCTGTGTAGACTTGCAGAGTAACTCTTCCGCGCACAGCCCCCAGCTCTGTTTTCTTGGACTCCAAACAAGTGGCCAGAAGCTGTCTCTTAGAGTGGACTTGTAAGTACAAGCAAGGCTGGGCCAGTGGGGGAGAGCGAGGAGGGAGTGCGGAACGATTTTTTATCCGTGCTTGCCTTGGCGTCAGCACTCACCAAAGAAACTGACAGTCAGTGGGAAGGGAGAACGGACTTGTTTGTATAGGCTGCTGGCGCGTCTGCACGTTCTGGAGTCGCCACTTACCTACCGCGGGCTGGGCCCGCCGGCCAAGGTGTGTGTGCTCTGGCCGCCCGGCCGCCTACCGGCCCCGCGCCTCCGCAGCCAGGGGCTGTCTGGTGTGCGCTCGGCGCGCGCGCAAGAAACTCAACCGACTGCAGCCATTCCTCCGCCTACGCCGCGGGACGCGCACAAGGGCGGATAAACCGCGGGGGTCTGCGGAAGCCGCTGGAGCTAGGTCCGGCGGGAGGAGCGGGACGGAGGAAGCCAAAGGGGGTGGTGTCGGGCATTTAAGAGGGAGGAGACGTCAGTGCGCGCGGCCCGGCCTGCAGATGGCGCTGCTCGTGGAAGCCGAAAGGGCAGTTTCATCCAAAGGATGTAGACTCCTTCCTCCTAGTAACCGACTGTCCTTTCGGATAGAATAGTTCTGCTAAGCGCGTCCTAACACTACACGGGATTTATTCTGTAGGACGTCCAGCACCCAGTTACCAGGATTTTGCTTTCCAAATAGGAATTCCAGGCTTCCAATCAAATGGGCCCCGATGGGTTTAGTACCGTCTGTGACTTCACAGGCAGTTACTTTAAATAATGGGGCCCCAAAGACTAGTTAGGGGTACTCTCGCTGAGGAGTCCCTGAGAATCTTGTACAGGGTTAGGTTTCACATCCTTGGCCTGATGTGAGCCACAGGTCTAGGACAAACCAGTTTCTTGCCATTTGAATATGTGGAGCACTCCAAGCTTTCTCCCCCACAAAAGTTACTCTTTCAACCTTGCCACTTTTGCTGAGAAACAGTTATAATCTTTACTGCCCCCAGAAGGGAAGTGATTTTGGTGCTCCTTTTGAATGTAAATTTCCATTCACAGGATTGGGATCAAGAGGTTTGTTAGTTAGATGTAGCCTCTAATTTTCTGATGACTAACGGTTGCGTTCTCCAGTAATTGCACAAAGTTACTGATTTTTACTCTCCTCTCCCTTCAACTGGACCTTTTGAATGATTGCGTCGGCTGTTTTGAGAACAGTGTTGCAAAAGTTGCCAATGGAAAGTTCACTTGTGTTTAGGATTAAGAAGGTGAAAAGACAGCTCTATCACTGAAGCCATTCTCTTGTCAACAGAACAAAGACTCCATTTGGTATCTTTTTCTCTAACTGAAACTGAGAATAAGCATCACATCCAGTTAAGATAAAGTATAAGAACTCTGGACACTCGTGGATGGTTTGTTTATGCATATGTAATGCTGATAAGGGGCTAAGGTAGACTTCTTCAGTCCAAAAATTATTCATTTGAAAATTCAATTTCTTTTTTTGCTCACAATAATTTCAGTACAGCTGTATGAAAATGCACTTTTCTGTGTGTCTTCCTTAATTTTAGAACGAATTATATATGTAAAATAATTCAAGTTCAAAATTTGTTTATCCAAATTATGCCTTGGCCAGCAAGTATTACATTCAAAGTCTTGAGTCTTCCATTTATTTGTATCTCTTACAGAACTGTATGGCAATGGTTTTTGGACATTTATTCTTCCTACTTCAGAGGAATTACATCAAAATGAGGAAGGAGCATCCAACTGGAGCATAATTGCCAAGGCAATAGAGAAATTTGGGGAATAAGTGCATAGCAGTCAACAGCCCCTGATGCTTTTTATTTCTTTTAGTCTTTGTATTAAGACAAAGCATATATGCATCAAAATTGGCCTTCACTTTTCTCTGTGACAATAAAGGACTTTATTAATGGTAATGCTACAATAAACCGATATCAGTAACCCATGCATCTGTATTTTAATCGGAATTACTGTCTACTTGTATTTATTTGTATTATTTAAAAATTGAAGTGAAAAAATACAATCATCAGGAGAAGATTCTGCTATACACATCAGGGATATGAAACTCATTCTAAATGAGTGATTTCTTTTTTAAAAAATCCTGTCTCTGAAAAGAGAGGTCACGTCTCATCGTTTAGCCATGAAACCATGAATTTTCCCTGACACCTACGGTTAAGACTTAGACATCTGTCTAATTAATATGGACAGGGTGGAGGCCATGCAGAAGAGAAATGCAGCCTCTGGTGAAAGCAACAAACACAACCACATCCTGTGTTTTTAAAGCAGTGGACAGTCTGATGCCCCTCCTCTGTCTTCCCACACCTTGTAGCTAGAAGAAAATAGCCTCCCCTCGTTTCAAGTAAAGCAATGCATTGTTTTGGCATTTGTCACTCAGTTAAAGGTGGAGAGGCATTTTCCTTTCTGTCTGGGTCTCACTTGATAGTGGGGTTCTGTATGGAAGATCTATTACTATGCTAAAATTAATTTTTATGCTCTCTTTTCCCCCTGTTAGAATCATTAGCAATGCCTCTTGTTTCCCATGGTATGTTTGTTAATTCCACTGCTTTCTGCTATCAGAATGATGGCTGCAGGGCATGCTGAGCCCCGGTACAACCCATGGGGAACACAAAGGTCAGGGATATTTTGTCCCCAGAAGAGAGCACTCTGAAGCTGCAGGAAGCCTTGTACATACACTATATGTATACACATGTTCTCCCAATAATGAAGAGTAAAGACAGGGGAATGGGGAGAAGAAAAGCTGTCTAGAATTTCTCATCTGAAAACTGTTCCATTAATGTGTCCCTGACCTTGAGTAAAATGATGCCTTTGGAACATTTGTCTTTTAGATTCTGGGTATCTCCCTTCTTGGCCCTTGTTCTCTGCTCTGGCATCTATTCCTCCAAGGGGACAATGGTTTTCTGTTTTCTACAGGCCTTCCTGAGTCTCTATCAACACTCAAATTGAGAAAGAAAATCATTATCATTCACTTCCAGTGACTAACAAGCCTGGATAACAAATTAGGAGCCACCACGTGTCAGGCTCCATTAAATAATGTTGACACATGGGTCTACAAATTAATATAAGATACTTTTGTCACCTTGAAGGAGTTTCCAACCTATTAGGGTATATAAGAACAAGCTACGAAGGCTAATGGAATACTATTGGTAGAATATTAATATGATCTCAACAGGGCAAGTCACAAGAGTTTGGCTCTGTAAGAATTCAGGGGACAAAGATCACTATGAGCTGGGGGTGGGTAGGAAAGATTAGGTAGGGAAAGCTGCATAACGCATCCAGGACTGAGCTGTGGGCACATGGATGGGGGTGGTATGAAAAGGCAGACATTCTTTATGAGATGCCAAAGACAACCTGATCCTGTCTTCTTGTCAAGAGGGGGCCTGGGATGAAATTTGTTATTGCATTGCTGGATACTGGTAGCCTGGGTTGGTTGAGGAGATCCTGGAAAAAGATTCAGGTTCATGGCTTCCCATGCATTGTATCAGAAGGGTCTGGGAAGAGTGAGAAAAGATGAATCTATAAAGTCAGAGAAATGGCAGTTGGGGGTAGCTAGATAAGAGGAAGAATGTTTTGACAGAGTAAGAGCACAGCATATGAATAGGGAGAGAATTATTAAACTATTAAATGTTGACAAAAGATTGATCAGGGGTAGGTACAAGACAGAATAATTCATACTTATGTAATGCTTAAGTTTTTGCCAAGTGATTTTCACACAATATACTATTGAAATTTGGGATAGCAGATCCTTTCAGAAATACCAATTAGACCACTTTAGCCAAAGCAAGAGATTAACATAGCAGCGGGTAGGTATAGAAGAAAATGCTAGAGATCATATGTGGAATCATTATAATTCCAGATTAAAAAACTAGAACTATAGTGTTAGTCAGTGTGGATCATTAAGAATGAAGACAGAAGTGTTCTGTTTGGAGTTGATTTCAGTGACGCAGGTGAAATAATGAAGACCTGATTGTGAGATGTCAGCAGAAGGCATGGAAAACGAGTTAGACATCAAAGAAAGAACTGGCAGGACTTGGTGTCTGGACGTGAGGAGGGAGGGAGTTGAAGAAGCAGAGAAGGCTTTGTGCCTTGGAGATGTGGGCAATGACAGAAAAGGGGAAGTCAAGAGTGACTTCTCCTCTGGGTCTTTTTTTTTTTTTTTAACTTGATCTGTAAATATAAAAAAAGCTTTGTTCTCTGCTAAGAGAATTTCCAGCCCCAGATAGCAGGGGCCTTCTTGGAAAGGGATTGATACATGTTACAGTATTGAAACAGTTTGTCATTTGGGAGAGTATGTGAGGAATGATCTTCAGAGAACAATGCTTGGATCAATACCCTGATTGTTGATACATTTTTCTTTTCTTTTAGTGGAATATGTTGTTTTTTTGGAGAGGCCACAATTCCAAGGTACTACAACAGCCTTTCAAGGAGGGTAACCCAAACAGACCATGATGGGCAGTGTGGTAAGGGTACATGAAGCCTAGAAGATTGAGTCTGTCCAGTTGACCCAGTGGAGAGCACTTTACTCTTCAAGTCCAGTTATCAAGAACAATGGCAGACCTGTTTGATCCTTAAGCCAGATTTTCCTAGAAAATCTAGATCCAGGAGGCTAGACTATGCAGTGACTTATTTCTATTTTCCATCTCACTGTGCTTTGTGGTAATGGCAGGGATGGGGAAATGAGTTGGGTCACCAGACACTTCAATAACTGATTCAGTCATTTCTATGATGCCTACCTGTAACACTGCACAATTGTCCAGCTTTTGGAAAGTTCCCCAGGGCAGGATTTCACGGAGATGTCTTGCATTGGTAATTGGTTGTTCTGTTGTGTCTCAGCTGGATTCAAGTTTGAAGAAAGAAGAGGTAACAGGCTGGCTGGGAGGAGGAACGGGGAAAGGAAGGAGTAGATCATAGGACTCACCTATCTTACAGGTTGGATAGCTGTGGAGGAGGAAGTGTTTTGAAACTTCTCTATGGTCCTTGGATGAGAAGCATTTTCTGAAATCTGGTATGCTTCATTGTTTCTGGGGACAATTGCACTGACGTTATGAGAACTAAGTAAGAGAGAAGGCAAATGGTGGAAGCTGATTGTAACTTCCACAGAACAGTAGAGACAGAACTCCAGTTGCAAATATTCACAAACAATGTGGTTTCCTGCAAGTAGATGTTGCATTGTAAGGATTTGCAATGGAAAAGAGGCAATTTCTGGGACAGCCTCTGGTTCAGGAATAGTGGGCAGATGATTCATTCATTCGTTCAACTAATATTTCAGGACGACCTGTGGGCCAGACACTGTTCTATGTGCTTGGGACACAGCAGTGAACAAAGCAGATGAAATGTCTGTGGTAGATTATTTGTAAAAATGCTACAGTTACTGAACTGTTTTGCAGTCTGACTTTTAGCTTCTCCTACAAAGGTCTGGAGGCTTTCTCACCACTTGAATCTGGGTTGGCTTGTGACTTGCTTTGACCAATAAAACAGGCCAGATTGAACTGACCACACAGCTCATGAGGCCTCGCACTCTTCCACGTGCTCCCTCAGAATCCTGGGCAACTGCCACGTAAACAAACATGGGCTCACTTGCTGGAGACCAAGAGTCATCCCAGCTAAAGCCATCATGGACGAGCCAGATCTCAAGTGACTCAGAAGCTGACTGCAAATGCAAGAGTGAGCACAGCTAACACCAGAGAAACCTCCCACCTTCATTTATTACCAAATTGTCAAAGCACAGACTTGTGAACAAAATAGATGGTTGTTATTTTAAGGCACTAAATTTTGAAGGTAATTTGTCATGCTGAAAAGGCTAACTGATACAGTCTCATGCCTTAAGGAGTTTACATTCCAAAAAAGGAAAGAAAAAATTAACAAAACCACACACACACACACACACACACACACTGATGTGCTCAGTATTATGGGAAAAAATAAACTAGAGTATGATATATAGCAAGTATTGAGATGGAGGGCAAGAGTGTTCCTATTTTTTTTAATATTTTATTTATTTATTTGACAAAGAAAGGGAGAGAGTGACAGAGCACACAAGCAGGGGGAGCAGCAGAGGGAGAGGGAGAAGCAGGCTTCCCGCTGAGCAGGGAGCCCGATGTGGGGCTTGATCACAGGACCCCGGGATCATGACCTAAGCTGAAAGCAGACACTTAACTGACTGAGCCACCCAGGCGCCCCAGTGTTCCTATTTTTCATAGGATGTGCAAGGAAGGGCTCACTGATAAGGTAACATTTGAATGGGCACCTTGAAAAAGTTACCAGAGGTGTGAGGTTGAGGCTTGGAGAAAATGAGCACTTGAAGAAATAAATCTTAAATCTGATACAATTTACTATGAAATCTACAAAGGGTATATTTCCAACAGGAAATACCAAAAATTGAAGATTTAGGAATTTGTGTGCTCAAATTCTAGAATTTTCTCTGTCCTTGACAGCAGACTCCTTTAGGTTGAAAGTATTTGTATTCAGCCTCTTAGCGGGGAGGTCATGAGAAGCCCTGAATGGGGATGGGGTCTTACTAAGTCTCATATAGCCCTATAATCCCCAGACTCTGGCATATACTCTACATAGTGGGGGGAAAAAAAACTGCCTTGGCAAGCCAGGTTACCCGAATGTAATGTCCTACTATGCTACCACTGGCATCTTGCTATGTTGTATATTAGTTTAATTTTGAAAACAGGTCTATTGAGATATAATTCACATTCTTTTCATTAACCCATTAAAGTATACGATTTGAAGGGGTGTAGTGCATTCACAGAGCTGGGCAGCCATCACTGCAATCCATTTTATTATTTATTTATTTATTTATTTATTTATTTATTTATTTATTTATTTATTAAAGATTTTATTTATTTATTCATGAGAGATAGAGAGAGAGGCAGAGGCAGAG